GGGGGGACCGGGAGCTCGGCGCCGGGCGGGCCGGGGCGAACAAAGTGGGAGGCCCGTCGAGCCGCGAGGGGGGCCGCGGGCGGCGGGCAGGCGGCGGGCGAGGGCGGCAGCGCTGGCGGAGCAGCGGCGCGCGGCGCCCGGCGCGGAGAGCAGCTGGTGTTCGCTGTAACAAACAACTTGCCACTCAAACGCCGGCCCGCTGGGCATGCGCGGCCGCCGCGGGGCGTGTCGGGACTTGTAGTCCCGCGGCCGGGGCGCCGGAGGCTGCTGATGTCAGGGGGCCGGGCGGCCGTGCGAGGGGCCGGCCGGGTGCTGGGGAAGGCTGGGGGTGACCGGAGGGGCGGGTGGAAAATGCTGGAGCGCGGGGCCCCAGGGGCCCACGGGGAGGCGGAGGGCAGAAACGGGGGCCTTTGGAGCCGGCCTGAGCCGGAGTGCAAGCTCTGTCTCTCCGAGCTCAGGACTTGGCGCTTTTGGGTGCAAAGCGAGTGGCCCACAGAACTCCCGCTCTTGAGGAGGCCCGAGTCTAGGAGGGGAGAGATTTGGAGAAACCGGTAATTGCAGTGCAGAGAAGCAAAGCGAAATAAGTAAATAAATAAGGGTGTGTGTGTGTGTGTGTGTGCTGGGGACGGAAATGGGGCTTCAGGGGGGTTTCCTGGAGGAGGGGACATCCAGGCTGGGTTCTGAAGGATGAACTGGAGTTCGCTGAGGAAGGGGTGGGGCACGCGGGGATGGAGGCGGCCGGCGGCCTTCCAGGCAGAAGGAACAGCGTGTCCAGAGGCACAGAAGCGTGAAAGCCCCCACGGAGCCGTGTTTGGCTTTGCTGGAGCGGAAAATGTGAGGGAGGAGAGGCCAGAGATAAGGCAGGCGCAGTCACCAGGAGCCGGGTCGAGAGGGTCATTGTGCAGAACTAATGAGGTGGCCGTTTATCCAGGGGGGGAGAGGGCGAGGGGGCTGCGAATGAGGGAAACGTCGAAATACACCCCCACGGGCTTCTCACCCCAGGGCCAGCATGTCCCCGACTAACGTCCTGCCACGGCTCCCCCTTAATGGCCTATTGGAATTTTGGAATTTTCTAGGTTAAAGTTACTGATGCTTGGCTCTTGGGCAGAGTATTTTGGGGATGTGATGGATTAGGTTTACCTGCTGGGGCTGTCTGAGAACTTTCTTTTTGGGGAAGATTCTGACCATGCCCTACCTCCATCTCTCAGCCCACCTCTCTGAGGTGGGGGGACATGTTTGGGCTATCTTGTTTCCACAAAGGGGCTTGAAGCCTGCAATCTGGTGGCTGTTAAAGCGTCTTGACCCCCTTCCCCTTTTACTTTCACTCAAGAATTTATCTCCATCTAATGAAGAATATTCTTTTTGTTTTGTTTTGCCTGTCTGTCTCCCTCTTTTAGAATTTCAGCTCCGCGAAGGCAGTGGTTTTTGTCCTCTTACTGTATTCCCAGTGCCTGAAATGTGGCTGGCAGGTGAGAGACATGTATTCAATATTCATGGGATGTATAAATGCATGCATCTCTTCCTTTAGCATGGAGAGACTTAGAAGGCCCAAACAGAAATGCATTCAGTGGCCAGGCAAGTGTGAAGGTGAATAAAGCAGTTGGGTATCAGACAGTTGGGAAATGGTACAGGGGAAGGGTGGCCAGACTGAAGGCCTAAAATTCTTAAAACAAACGAAAGCAACCCAAGAGGTGAAACCAACCAAACAAGGCTAAAGGCAGGATTTGGTCAGTTTTCTGATTTCTGCTCTGGATGGCCTTGGTCAGTGTTTTTTAATCTGTAGTTTATGATCCATGAGTGGATGGTGAAATCAATATAGCGGGGCATGACTAACATTCAAAAAGAAAATTGAATAGAAAATTACAAAGAACTTTGCACATAGTACAGGTCATCTATTACTGTGATCTCTTCTATGTTTCAGGAAACTTTCATCTTGGCCACGTGTGTACTGTGTGCACGCCAGCCTAAATATGCATCTGTGAGCATACATGCACTGGATCTTGATGCAAAGGTATTTCTCTGCATCTTGGGTCAAAACAATTTGGAAACCCTAGGTTTTCTAGTTAATTAAGCCAGGTAATTTTCTAGGTTAAAGTTACTGATGCTTGGCTCTTGGGCAGAGTATTTTGGGGATGTGATGGATTAGGTTTACCTGCTGGGGCTGTCTGAGAACTTTCTTTTTGGGGAAGATTCTGACCATGCCCTACCTCCATCTCTCAGCCCACCTCTCTGAGGTGGGGGGACATGTTGGGCTATCTTGTTTCCACAAAGGGGCTTGAAGCCTGCAATCTGGTGGCTGTTAAAGCGTCTTGACCCCCTTCCCCTTTTACTTTCACTCAAGAATTTATCTCCATCTAATGAAGAATATTCTTTTTGTTTTGTTTTGCCTGTCTGTCTCCCTCTTTTAGAATTTCAGCTCCGCGAAGGCAGTGGTTTTTGTCCTCTTACTGTATTCCCAGTGCCTGAAATGTGGCTGGCAGGTGAGAGACATGTATTCAATATTCATGGGATGTATAAATGCATGCATCTCTTCCTTTAGCATGGAGAGACTTAGAAGGCCCAAACAGAAATGCATTCAGTGGCCAGGCAAGTGTGAAGGTGAATAAAGCAGTTGGGTATCAGACAGTTGGGAAATGGTACAGGGGAAGGGTGGCCAGACTGAAGGCCTAAAATTCTTAAAACAAACGAAAGCAACCCAAGAGGTGAAACCAACCAAACAAGGCTAAAGGCAGGATTTGGTCAGTTTTCTGATTTCTGCTCTGGATGGCCTTGGTCAGTGTTTTTTAATCTGTAGTTTATGATCCATGAGTGGATGGTGAAATCAATATAGCGGGGCATGACTAACATTCAAAAAGAAAATTGAATAGAAAATTACAAAGAACTTTGCACATAGTACAGGTCATCTATTACTGTGATCTCTTCTATGTTTCAGGAAACTTTCATCTTGGCCACGTGTGTACTGTGTGCACGCCAGCCTAAATATGCATCTGTGAGCATACATGCACTGGATCTTGATGCAAAGGTATTTCTCTGCATCTTGGGTCAAAACAATTTGGAAACCCTAGGTTTTCTAGTTAATTAAGCCAGGCTGTTGGGAAGTTTGCAAATTTAGAGCATGTTGGTTGGATTTACAGAATTGCTTTCACTGAGCTGAATTTGGTGCTTAAGTTTTGAGACACACCTGAAATGATCATTGGGAATTTGAGGAAACTGACCTCTAGGTTATCAGATCGAGAGGATGGTTTCAGGCAGGGCCTAGGGTGAGACATTCACTGTCAAGGTCATGCCTGTCTTGGCTCTGCACGTTCTTGTGGAATTCACTTCTCACTTGCTCCCTTAGCTTTGCACCCTTCTGGTTCTTTCTTGGTTCTCCTGGTTTTTGCCTCTTTGGTTTCTTTTCCGCCCAATCCTAAAATATGTGGAGGCCTACCTGGTGTTCCTTCTTGTAGTATGTTTTTACAGCAGTGGCTGCCAGTGAATCTTGTCTCCTGGTTAGGTATCCCACATTGATTTTGGCCTTGTGGCTTTCTTTGGCCAATAAGGTCTTAGCTTGGTAGTACATGTACTTGGTAACTCCTGTGCATTGACGCTTCCCGCTTGGATGTTCCCCTGAGTCCACGATGCTGTGAAGAAGCCTAAGTGAAAGTTCACATGGAAAGAGAGGCCAGGTGTTCCAGCTGTTGCCACTGAGCCCCATTGTCTGCTGACAGCTGGCGTCAACCAGACACGTGAGTGAGCTGATCTGGGACCTTCTAGTTCACTATCCAGACACATGCAGCCCCATGAATGAGCCAGGTGAAGCCACAAGAGGAACTACCCAACCAGTTTATAGAGGAATAACAAATACAGCTGACCCTTGAACAGCATGGGTTGAAACTGCTCAGGTCCGTTTATACATTGTTTTTTTTTTAATAGTGAATAATGCAGTGCCTTAAGATCCATGGTTGTTTGAATCTGTGGATGTGGAACCATGGATACTGAGGAACCACATATATGGAGGGTCATTTATAAGTTATAAGCAGAAAGTTCCCTAAGAGTCTGCCTTGCAGGAGATGTGGGTTCCGTCCCTGGTTGGGGAACTGTTAGTCAGATCCCACATGCTGTGGAGCAACTAAGCCTGCACACTGCAACTACCAAGCCAGGCGCCTCGAGGAAAGATACTTCATTGTGCCACTAGGACCCAATGCAGTCAAATAAACAAAAATAAATATTAAAAAAAATTATAAGCAGATTTTCAACTGATGGAGGATCAGCATTCCTAATTCCCACCTTGTTCAAGGGTCCACCGTAGTTATTTTTAGCCACTAAGATTTGGAATGATTTATTATGCAGAAATAAATCGCTGATATTTTCCCTCTCCCCTCATCTTCTTTCACTCTGTGGGTGGACTCAGCCTCTGACTTCTGATATGTTGAGGGCCCCTAAATTGACAGTTCTAGCCCAGAACATGTTCCTGAAGCCCCGATTCACATATCTAACTTCCTGATGGTTGGGGATGTGTGTGTCTGCGTGCTGTCATGTCTGCCTCTTTCGACCCTATGGTCTGTAGCCCGCCAGGCTCCTCTGTCCATGGGATTTCCCAGGCAAGAATACTGGAAGGGGTTGCCATTTCCTTCTCTGGGGGATCCTCCCAACCAGGAAATTGATCCTAAGTTTCTTGTGTCTCCTGCATTGGCAAGAGGGTTCTTTACTACTGTGCCACCAGGAAAGCCTGGTGGTTGGTTACGTCCACCTAAATGTTCACAGGCTTGGGCAGCTCACCCTGTTCACACCTTACCTTATCATCTAACCCAGGTATCTCCAACCTCTGGATCTAATGTCTTATGATCTGAGGTAGAGCTGATGTAATAAAAAATAGAAATAAAGTGCAAAGTAAATGTAATGTACTTGAATCATCCCCAAACCACCAACCCCACCATTGCCCCCCAGTCTGTGGAAAAACTGTCTTCCATGAAACCAGTCCCTGGTGCCAAAAGGTTGGGGACCACTGATCTAACCCATCCCAGACCTTCTCCTCTTCCTCCGGTAATCTCTGTCTTGGTTGATGACATTGTTGCCAGTCCCTAAAGTTACCAGCCTGATCTGGCATGTTGTGTTTTCTAAGATGGTCACAAGATCTTTTATTCTGCATGCTCTCCTGGCAGTGTGACATTGATCAGCATCCCTTTAGGAGGTGGGTCAGTGTTCCTTTGTCTTGAATCTGTGACTACAGAGGAAATGACACCTGTGACCTCTAAAACTAGGTTATACCTGGTCATCCTGTGGCCACCTGGTCTCCTTGGGACACTCACTCTTTGAAACCATCTGCCATGCTGTGAAGAAGCATAGCCTCCATGGACGGATCACAGGTGGAAATTCATATTGGTTTGTTAAGTTTGCAGAACACATACTGGGGGCTTTAAACAACAGAAGTTTATTGTTTCACAATTCTGCACACTGGAAGCTCAAGGTCCAGGGTATGTTTCTTCCGAAGGCTTTCTCCTTGGTTTTTAGATGGTCACCTTCTCCCTGGTGTCTTCGCGTGGTCTTCCTTCTGTAGTGTGTATCTCTGTCCAAATCTCCTGCTCTTATGAGGACACTGGTGATATTGACTAGAGCCCCCCTGATGACCTCATTTTAACTTAATTACCTCTTTAAAGACCCTTTCTCCGAATACAGTCCTGTTCTAAAGTAGTTGGGGTTAAGACTTCAACGTATGAATTGTGAGGCATGGTGGACACACTCTGGCCCATAGCAGAATTCCAACTTCCCCAGTGGCTCAGCAAGTACAGAATCCACCGGCAATGCAGGAGACACGGGTTTGACCCCTGTGTTGGGAAGATCCCTTGGAGGAGGGAATGGCAACCCACTTCAGTATTCTCACCTGAAACATCCCGTGGACAGAGGAGCGTGGCGGGCTATAGTCCACAGAGTTGCAAAGAGTCAGACACAGCTGAGTGACTAAACACAGCACAGTGTTCCAGCCAACAGCCCCAGTGGATGGCTGAAACCTCAGGGTAGATCTGACGGCCCCCAGGCCTGTGGAGGGAGGCTTCACCAGACACGAATGAGTGACTCTGAGCAAGAACCACTTAGCTGAGCCTGATCACCCGCTTGAACCATGAAAGGTAATAACGAGATAATTGTTGTTCTAAACCACTGTATTTAATAGCAATAGATTATTGGAATATCCTTGAATCAGTCTGGTTGCTGGTGGTGGTGGTGGATGGGGTGGAGGGAGCTGACCAGGGAATTATCCTGGATTGGTCCCTCTTGCTTCCCCAAGTCACCCCCCCCCCCATCTAATCTGTCAACAGGTTTTAATGATTTTATTTACTGCACACCTCTAATCTAGCTGTCTCTTCACCTTGACCATCCTAGACCACCATGTCCTAGATTGTTTACAATGGCCTCCTAATGTCCATCCCATCCTCTCTGTGTTGCCTAATAGATGTTCTATGATATGGGCCTACCACCTGTAACTCTTTTAGGGACCCAGGCTCTCCTAAGAAAACCAAGCCCTGATCCTCCATAGTTGATCTTATGGAAAGGGAAAGAGGCTTCCTCACTCATAGATCCATACTCTCCAATATGGTAGACATTGGCTGTACATGGCTATTGAATACTTGAAACTGGAGCTAATGTCATGAGAAATGGAAGCTTTAATTCTGCTTCATTTTAATTAATTTAAAATTAAAAAATGATGTTTAGTTATTGGAAAACATTGATGTATGTTTGGAAGAGGCTGCCTAGCTGTCCTGATTGTCCTGGAACTGGGCTTTCAGGATGTGGAACGGTGAGTTTTTAAAACCAGGACTTGCAGACTTCCCTGGCAGTCCAGTGGTTAAGACTCCGAGCTTCCACTGCAGAGGGTACAGGTTCAGTTCTTGGTCTGAGAACTAAGATCCCACATGCCATGCAGCATGGCCAAAAGAAAAACGGAAAACCAGGACTTGAGTAAACGAGGATGAATCGGTGACACTGCTTTGAAACAGCTTGGTTATGGACATCTGTGAAATCCAAATACA